GGATTTGGGGTAAGGAGATATGGAGCATACACATAAGCAGTTACTGTGCAATAGCTGACACAGAAAATCTTCACCGCTTGTACATCAGTTTTAAAAAAAAGTAGCTATTGACGTTAGCCATTGCCCACTGATGGAGCCATCTTTGAGTGAGAAGATGAGACAAAACACTTGAGAGAGCGTTGCAGGTGATTAATAATTGACTTTTGTTTCAGGTCTGATCATTTGTGTTCCTCTTATAGCATTGGGCTCATCCTTTTCTTACAGCAGCTGAGCATTTGTGCTCCTCTTCTTAACAGCATGTTCTTATGGCATCAGGATCACTTGCATGTGGGAATGTAGCAAAATAACTTTTCTGAAACTGTAATACTATTATAATTCTTAAATAGTTACTGTATCTACTTGCATGCAAAGCAATGGTTTTCCACCAATCAGCATGGGGGAAAAAGCCACTTTTCTTACATTTGCATACAAGAAAACATCATAAAATACAGTGGCTATCATTAAACCTCTACCCAAAGCACAATGTGCTCAGAAATGAAAACCAAGTATGAAGTTGATTAAATGCAGCCAACAGTGAGCATAACTATAAAATACATGGCCCATATTGGGCAAACAGGCTGAGGGGAACCTTTTTGTGCAGCCCTTAAAAAATGGACAGTTGCTGTTCTCCCAGGAAAGAATGGACACCAGGCCTAGAGGTCTTGCAACACCAGACCAGCACTGAAGCAAGCTCTACTCTTCTTTGGTGCCAAAACTGCTGATGGGGTCCTTAGGATAGCTTATTGGATTAAGACAGATGGTAGTATGCATTAAGTCCCATCCCCGTCAGTGCTCTCTTTTTACGTCATAGTGAGCCAGTATGTTGCATACTCTTTTACTTAATCTTCACTATCACAGATGAGCTGTGACTTCCTTCCCCATTTCAAATGATTCCTGCTTCTTCACCAGCCTTAAATGTCTGGCAAACTTAACCAAATGGGGCCTGAAACAGTTCACCCAGAATCCCTCTGTTGGCCCTTCTCTTGGCCTGTTGCATATGAGGATTCCCCCACGCTCCATGAGGTGAAACTGGACCAGGTTGCCCTGTATCTTGCCTTCATATAAATTTTTGGAGGATCCCAGGACTCATGACAAGGATAACCGGTTCTAGTCTTGAGTTGGGGGGGTGCTAATTAGCACACTGATCCTTTGAGGGGAGGCAGGAGTATGTGTGTGGGGGGGGCGTGATTATGACAGGTAAAGGAGATAATGGGCACACAGATGCATGGTTGTAGTATTGTAACAAAGATGATGGTGTATGTGTGTTTATAGACTGTCAAGTAAAGTGGATTGGTCATGAGACCAGAACTGTAAAGGTATAGGGGGGGAAGGGGAGGATGTATGTACATGTGTATTTATTTTTGTAAAAAAAATAATTTGTACGTATATAAGCAAGTGCTAAATTGCTGTTTAAAAGTGTGTTTACAGAGTACCTGTGCTAAAATTTGCAGCAGTTTCAAAAAAAGGTAACATGCACCAGTTCTGGATGAAATAAGTTTATGGGTGCTATATACTAATTACTACAGCCATATTTAATTTCAAGGTCAGCATTTTCAAATTTGCTCCTCACTTCCATGTACTCAGGGAGAGCAGTCTGACAGTAAGGAGGGGAGAAGGGACTTTAGTGGCAAGCAGAGGGTAAGGGGTTACCTGACCCCCCAGATTTATTTTCCCTGCTAGAGCAGTAGAAGAACAAATTTAAGGCAAACCTCCAACCACTGAATTCTACATCTAGAAAAATATAACATTTATAAATGTTCCCATATAGAATTTAATTATTGGAGGGGTTCTTATAATCAAGGTTGGCTTATATTTCAGTAAATACAGTACTTCAGGATAGATATTTGATATTCTGTAAAAGCTGTGCCTTTTCACAATTCCACTTAATATACTTACAAAAAGTGGAATAGGCATTCCAAATCAGAACTGGAAAAAGGTCTTATTCTGGAATGCAAATGTCCACCCGGGGCTTATACTGAAAATAAAGTACTTCAGACCACTTCCTTGTCTAAAAAAGAAAGAAAGAAATTACAGGGTGCTAAGTATAAGTTGCAACAGGTTAGTAGACCTTACCTGAAAAACTCCACCCTGGGGGTGTCTACACAAGACACTAACTGTGCAGTAGCCTAATAATACTGTGCAGTAGCACATCACAGCATGGACAGTGCTAATATGCTACTGCGCAGTATTAGGCTACCGCACAGTAGCATCACTAAAAAGGTGCTCATCAATGCTACTGCACAGTAACTCAAGCTACTGCGCATGTATTTAATACTTGATTATACAAGCAGTAAATCAAATGCGCAGTAACCACTGTGCATTAATGAATGTGTAGACATGCCCCCTGTTACCAAGTGCTAATTCTATGGGAAAAAAAATATATGGGTCCTGCTGTTTCACTGAGGCAAGTGGGACAATTACTCATGTTAGCATTAGGGACCTGTACTGATAAGCAAACTAGCTACTGGGTTTGGACAGCAGGAGCTTTACCAGAGGTCATTCCTAGACTCAATTAAAAGATTAAATCTTCCTTAAACTTAAAATAAACTAAGCATGTTTGTTTTGTAGGGATGAAGAGATTAAAAAGATGTTGTAATTATCCCAAAAACAAAGATAAACCAGCTACAGTTAGACATAAGACCTACAAACATGTTAAATTATAGAAGCACAGTTGGAGCACTTGAATTTAGCTTCAATCTTAGCTATTCATGGAATAAACCTATTATTATTGGTGCAGTTTGTGCTCCCAGGTCAAATTTAAGTGATTTTAAAACACATTCTTTTTTTTTAATCTGATGGCATCACTACAGATCATTCCTGTCTGCATGTTTTTAATGCTGTTGGGAAAACTATGATGGAATATAAAGCACGGGTGAAACAAACATTGCATACTGTGATATGCAGGGGAATTTCATATCTAAAATACATTAGGATAAATGTTTATAGAGATTCAGTCTTTGTGATTATACAGATCTGATAGTATTTGTTCTCCCTTTAATTTTTTTATATCACCTTAATATCCCTGAGGTGGTCCAGTCCACTCTGAAAAAGTCAATGAAAACTCTTCACAGTTGGACAATATCAACCACTTTGTTACTCATTCATAAAGAATTCTTTCTTATCATAAGAGTCTTTCCTATAGCTCATTCTGCTTGAAGACAGACAGTACATTAACTGTTTGACTCTGATATTTATGTAAAGAGAAAAGTGTTTTTCCTTATATCAAGGCTATACAGATAATCAAGGGAACAGACTGATTAAGCAATCATTGCGCCTCAGGAAATAATTTGCACTTAATGTGCTGTGAATATTGGATTGGGTTTTTTGGGAGGTTGTTTTTCTTTTACATCTCTAACTCCAATTCCTGAAGTTTCTCTAGAAATAAACTAATGGAAAACAAACTGAAGGCAGGTTTATCAGATGATATTTCCAAACAAAAAGAAACAAAAACTTAACTTGTGGATACAAATAGACATGACTTGTTGAGAAGAGAGATTTGTGCCACCTAGGAAGGGGCTGTCATGTTAAAGCATAACCTTAAGATACCTTTGCAAATCTGTCATCAAAACTTTCCAGTCCAAGCATGAGATCCACATACCCATGAGCATATGAGAAACATGCAAGATCTCAGTTTCTGAAAACAAGGAAAACCTTAACTAACAAGGTTAAGGAGTAAACTTTACTTGAGGGGTTTTATTGATACCTGCTGTGGCATTTCTTATGCCTTCTTCTGAAGAAGCTGGTTCAAGTGCCTTTTGAAGAGGACCAGCTGGACCAGTGGTCTGCTCAGCACAACTATTCCTATATCCTCACTTTTCCAAAAATCAGAGTTATTCCCCTGGGAGAGTGGTAGCACAGAGCATGATACACTCATGTGAAGTTACAAGATTGTTAACTGACTAATAAAAGCTATGATACAGGAGCATGGCTAGAGCCCCTGCTGTTGCTTTTCTAATATAAATTAAGGATTTGTCAATCAACAAAAGTCATGTTATTTATTTCCCCTCCACAGAAAATAAGCTGAGCTTATTTGGGCATCTTTACATGAGATGAGGGGTTGCACTGGTAAATCTAATGATTAAAAAAAAAAGTAAAATAAACACTACACTCCTAACGAAACAGTTACAGGGTAGAAAAAAACTTGCATTTAGATCCAGTCCAAAAGGTAAGAAATAACAGGCAGAGGGAAAAGGGGAGGGGGGACTCTAACATTTCCCTCCTTTTATGTCATTTAGACTGTTCCCTTGACAGAAAAGATATATGTACACCGCCTATGAGTTATACCCTTTGCCACATTTCATATGTGATATATGTTGCTCCTCTCAGGAAAACCACTACCCAATTGATCAGAGAGCACACAGTCATCTTGAAAGATGCCCAGACTTAACATTGTAGAAGGCTCCAGATCAGAATTGAAGCACCCAGTGCCTCTAGCTCTCACAGTTTCATTGTAAGTCTTGTGATATGCCAGTATTCCTCATGAAGCTCCAGCTCTTAGAATGCTGTTATTGTATGAACATCTCAGCTTTTATTTAAACAAACAAAATAACATTAACTTTATTTCATGGTTATAGAGTAAGAACTGGAAACATAATCCAAGTCACCTCCAAGGGCAAATTGAAAATCAAATAGAAAGAGCTTTATTTTATTTAACCCTCACAGTTTAAAAACTAATCTAAGAATATCTTAGGGCCTGAGTGAACCAGAAGAGCTTGGGATGACAATGGAAGGGAATTATAACACAGGGATGTCTGCATATGCACTTTAATGTGCAGTAGCCTATTTTACTGAGCATTAAAGCATTACATAAAAAACTGTGCTAATACACTAATATACAGTAAAATAGGTACTGCACATTAAGCATCACCAAAAAGCATGCACTTTCACTACTGCACATTAGGGCAGCCTAATGCACATTTATTTAGTACCTCACATTAGAGATACTAAATTTAATGTGCATTAGGAAAAGGGCATTGTGGATGTGTCTACACATTCATTAGCGACTACACCCAAACTCTAGATGGTGCTATTTAGCCCCAGTCTTGCAAGCCATGTTACATAGGCACCTCTGTAGCAAGCACCAACTACATCTGCCTTGTCAGATGAACCTTGTCTTGTCAGATCTCTGACAGATATAAAGGTGCAGGCCAGAAGTACATTGGGCCAACTTTAAAATCAGGCAGCTAGAAACAATCCTGAATGATACAGAGCTCAAGCATAAACCTACCTGCGACCAGATAACAGTCTAAGTTTAGGTTAGAATGAAGATGCCAAGGGATTCATTGTAGTACTATACAGAAATCTAGAGCCCAAGTACAGTAAATTCTGGTTGATTCACCACTGTAAGGGGAATGCAAATAATGGCAAATCATCCAGCAGGGACCAATTATCAGGAGTTGACTAGTAGGGGGGGAGGGTCCTAGCAGGGAATTGTAACAGCAGCCAATTAAACATAGTGGCAAATAAACTAAAGCTTAATGTATCATGCTGGAGAGCCTGTGGGGGGGGAAAAAGGGCTACAAGTCGAGAGGAATAAAGTTAGATCCATTTGCACTTTGTTCTGCTCTTGTTTTCTCATAAAAATCATTGATTTGAGGAGGAATGAAATTCCATAGAAATAAGTTTGTACTCAGGGAAGTTACAAGTTGTTACTGCTGTTTAGATGAGTTTCTCCAACCTTCAGGTTCACTGCAAACCTTGTGATATACAGTATTTCTCATACAGTGTCAGGTCCCAAAATGCTGCTATTACATAAGAGTCTCAGCTTTCATTGAAACACAACATACTAACTTTATTTCTTGGTTGCGATTCTCCTTCTCATATTGTATTTTCAAGTTTATGCCTACATTCTAATTCAGGAACAAAACTGTAAACACATTTCTCTGGGATTGTTTTCATACAGGCTAGGTACAGACGTTCAAAAAGCCAGAGGCAGAATCAAAGTTACATCGTTTTGTGTAAGCAGCATAGTTCAGATTGGTAGCAAACAAAATCACACATTCACCGTTTGTGGGGAGCAAATCTTGGATCACTTTTTGCCGTTCTGGAACCAGTCTGTGTGCTGAACTTCTGTTCTGATATGGGTATAGACTGGTTTCTGCTCATTTACAGTGATAAAAGTGCAATGTCTGCACCTGGCCTTAGATGCCCGATTTGTAGATGTAGTCAAATATTTAGATTTCAAAATGAGTGCAGCTGCAGGCACAAATAATTATGCCTGTCTTTATCTATAACTACAGCACTGAAGGTCATTTTGGGAAATGGAGGTAGGAGAGGATGATGATGTTAAATGATCAGAAATATGTATCAGGCCAAAATGATAGGAACATATATATTGCAGATTGGTCATTATCTAAGAGTGTGATGTGTTTTTATGACACACAAGGAGAGTTCCATGGGCTACTTAAAGTAAAAGGCATGTATATAGGCACCTTATAGGCCAGTGTTTCTCAACCCATGAGTTGGACCCAAAAGTGAGTTGCAAGAATATTTCAAAGAGTCACATGCTGCAGCAAGGCAGAGGGGCAATTGGAGCAGGGGAAGGGGGTGGGGGAGAGCTGCATGGCTGGGCTGGTGTGCTTGTGGGGGCAGGGTGGCTGGGAAACACTGCTCAGGGGGGCAGGAGGGGCCATGATCAGGCTGTCTGGCACAGTGTGGCAACCCCACCCCAGGGCAGGAGGTGCCACAGACCTCCTCCTCCCTCCAGCTTGTGCTGGGTCCGGACTGCTCCACTGCTGCTTGCATGAGCCAGGGCCACCCCAGCCAGTGCACTCCAACTGAAGCGGGACAGGGGCAGCTGGAGGCCCTTCCGGTAGGGCTGGAGGGTGGGGGGAGGCAGGAGACTAAGGGGCCGGGCACCAGCATGGTCAGAGGAGCGTGGGCTGGGACAGGTCATGGATCTTTGCAAATGGGTCCCAATAGGAAAAAGGTTGAGAACCACTGTTACAGGCTAACCAAGGCAGACATAGATCTATAGGTATATATGAAGCACAAACTTTCATGGTATAAAGCTCACATCATTAGATGCTGTTATGCTACTTAAAGCATAACAGTCTTCAAAATAAATTATATTAAATATCATATATTTTATCTTCCTAGAAGTAGAAAAGGCACTAGATGCTCTGGTAATAGGCTTATCAGAAAGGAAGTAAATGATAATAGATACTATTAGAGATACTTTTTGTCTATGTCACTGTTTGTATAATCTGAAGTGTCCATTTTTCTAATATTTCAGGCTGAATGTCATCTCTGTCTCAAGGAATAGAAATAGCTGGAGTTCTAAAAATCCAAAATAGTGTCCTGATGGCTGATACTGCCCTGGGTTCCTAAAAAAATGGTAAGGATAAAAGCTGACTGCATATGACAATGCCTGTTTCGGAACTCTCAATTGTCATCCTCTGGGTTTTTGCCCAGCCCCATAATACAAATAATAGTGCAGCAGCTGCACAGTCCCCACAATCTTCTATACACTATTCTAAACCAACCACAGCACATCAAATAACTGGTCTTATTGGTGAGAAATGTTCTCCTACCATTCAAGCTGGGAGAACATTAAAGGGTCCTCTCTGGCAATTGTTACCCTGTCATAACTAAGCACTTGTCCACCTCCAGGCCACTTCCATACCTGAGTGCCTCCAACAGTCCCTCTTCTCACTTTTAGCCACTCTCCTACTTGCACCCTGCTCAGTTCCACAGCTCTAAGGCTCCGTAGCCATTGGGATCTATCTGGCACCAAGTCACTGGGGCTCTTATCTTCTTTAGTGGCCTGACAAACTGCTCGATCTTCCATAGCTTACCTCATATGTAGTCCCCAGGTTGGGTGGAGCTGCAAGAAGGTGGGCCTCTTCCCCTTAAAGAGACCTTTACCCACTTCACTAAAACCCCTAAGTCCCTTCTCTTACAGCACAGTTCAAGGACCTGTGACACTGTGGCATCTGAGGCCTCAATGAAAGAATGCATCTAATTTCCCATTGATCTTCATGAACAACAGGCATACATTCTGAGCCAAAGGCACTAGGAAGTCAGAAGCACATAGCAGGGCATGAAGATTTTTCTGCAGGGATCATGGGATTCACTTTATAACCAGCTGCTCTCTCCAGCACTGCTGAGGAGTTAGCAAGAAATGCACTGGAGGAGCAGATCCACCTAAAAGCACGTTTACAATGTTGTGCCGTGCAAAGATACCTGAACTAGATACCAGCAGCAGGATTACTGAATTTGTGCAGCACTGCCTGCACTCTGCCTCTCAACAGAGCTAACTGCACTGGCTTGTGTTGCACTTACACTGCTGTACTGCTTCTGTTACCCAAGCTCACTCCAGCATTTGCATGGACTTCATTGTGCTGGCTAGTGGACAGCGGACGAGGAAAAGGGTACAGTCATTGGCTGCAGCAGCTGTAAGCAACAGGGACAATTCCTATAAATCAGAAAAATGATGGGAAAAACAGAAAATCTAGGCATGCTGAAGTTATATCTCCCCTTCCCCTGTTTCAAGGCTCTTTCTGAAAAATTGTTACTCAGCTTTGAAAACATTGGCCTTCTGGAACTTCCTTTCAGCCACAACACTTGACCCTGTTCTCTTGTGAAGCCAATGACAAAATGTCCCTAATCACCATCTGACCTCCTGAACTTCCTATCCACCAGTGGCCCTCCACACACACCCACACATTCCCTGTGATTCCACTTGATCAAAACTCCTACCACAATTCCTGTTTTAAGAAGCAAATCTCTGGGTTGTTATCAATTGCCTGTTGTGCTCCATCCCAGAAGTAGTTGCCTATCAAGCAAGTCTTGCAAAGATATCTCCAAAAATCTCTTGGACATCCTTCTGGAGAAAAGGTGCTATATAAATACAAAGAGTCTCATACACATCCAGGGCTCTAGTAAACAGACATCAAAAGGGGAAACTTGTAGTTCTACAATGCACCTCAGTGGCCGAGGTCCAGGCCTCTTTTCAAGTGGCTCTTCTGTTAGGCTTCATTCAGAAATTGTGAGGCTGCAAATGGAGCTCTGTAAAAGGTCTCTCACTCTGCAGTGAAAAATGGATTTTCAGACATTCTCCTTGAAGAGTGTTTTACCTCCATAATAAAGGCAGGGCCTGCCCTGAGACTTTCATGGATGAGGCTGTTGAGGATTCTTTTTCATGTAAACCAAGAGATAGGCAGTTTCACCCCTGGAGAAGGAAAAAAAAGGAAGGGGATCAAGATGACTGTAGTTAGATGCTCCAGTTTGCCTCTTTTCAGTTTTCCTACTGGAGGTAATATGACTTAACCTTCCTGTCACTTCTGAGACAGGGCTGTAACTGTGATAAACTAAAGGTGATGTGCCTGACAAAACAGATTTTCTCCGTGTCTTGCTTTCTTATGATTTATCAATATATGAGAGGGGGAGGGGAGAGAAAGTGGGTTTTAGGGGATACCGACAGAAGTGCATAGTACATCGCTATCCCTATGGTCTGTGTGATACTGAAGGTGAATAAGGAATAATAAGATCATTGTCACTCACAGACTTGTGACTATACAGTACTAATCAGCCAGGCAATTACTATGAGAATCAATTCATTCTAGAGAAATAAAGTTTAGATTGTTTTCCACCCTACCGCAAAGCTCCAGAGTGACTCTCAATAAAATGGAAATATGCCCTTACCAGCGCAGGTCCGCATTTCCGTAGGTACATTTGATATCATCCCATGATACCTGTAAGAAGCCAAGCAGCAAAAGAGATGATGTTTAGACACAATAGATAGCATCACAGCCGTTCCCAACAGGGTTCTATGCACTGCCTTTGAATAATTACAGGCCCATCCATCAAGGGGTTCAATGCATGATTGCTGGATGGCCATTTTTGTCAACTGCACCTGAAAATCTTAAGTCACGTGCTTGCAGAAAATTCAAGCCATTCTATTTATTGCAAACTATTACAGAGGGAGGCACTGGGTGCTGTCATGGAGACTATTTCTTATTCTTGTTCTCTTAATCTTAAATAACAGTCACTCAGACTACGGTATCTGTTACGTAAGAAAAGCACAGCACTTCTAATAACTGGTCCATTTTCTCAGTGGAGAGTGAACTGCCATTTACAATGCTACAGATTTACAGCGGAAAGGCACAAGATGGAGAAGAGAACTCAGTACCCATTCAGTTGTGCACATCTCCTTGAACTAGAAGTGCTTTTTGTAAGCCTAGGCAGAGACTAGAAAGAGTGAACAGCAGAAAAAACTGAAGAGCTGGGGCTCTGTTTCCTCACCTGGCAGACACTGGAATCATTGAAGCAGTACCACTGGTGGTCTATAAGGCTCCGAGTATAGGCACAGTAGTGGCCAAAGTTGGCTGATCCCAAGTGAGCAACAACAGCAAAGAGATCATACTGCCAATCAACCTAAAAAGAGCCACAAAGAGCAACATTTTCACTGCAGCAGCCTCAAACTGTTGAGCAGAGATGATAACACAACAGAAGTTATTGTCTTCATGAGAAATATGCCTTCTGCCCCACAACAAGAGGGGGCAGTGGCAGATTAAGATTTACTGGGGCCCTGGGCAAATAGGAAATTGGAGGCCCCCCTCCAGGCAAGGGCAGTTTCACTCTGCACCCACCAAGGGCCTGCAGCTGGGCCAGCCCAGCCTCCTTTGTGCGTCTGGGGTGAGTTAGGGGGTGCAAGGTGAAGGCAGCCTCAGCCCTGGCCCAACCCAGCCCCTCCATCCAGCAGATGTTGCACAGCTGGGGCTTCAGTCCCCCAGTGCTGTTGGATGGGCTTGGGCCAGGGCCTGGGCCAAGGCCAGGGCTGGCCTGTGGGTGAGGGGTGGGGCATGGAAGCCACTGCCACACGCATGGAGTTCCACACCCACCCCTAGCCCCTGGCCCTGGTCCTGGCTCAACTGAAGGGGAAGAGGTGCATGCTGCCTGCCCTGGATGCCCATGACCATGATACCTGCCTGGACTGTGATGCCCCTAGCACCCCAGGGGTGCCCCGAGAGGGAGCAAGACAAAGATAGCCTCGTCCTGAAGATCATTTTCTTCAGTTTTGCCTAAAGGGAATTCAGTTTGAATATCCTGTTCTCCCAAACATCCATTTACTTATTTAGGAACCTAAGCCCTATTTAGACCTTTGTTAATCAAGACCTTTGAAACCAAGGTTTTCAGGGCTTCATAATCATTATGGGTGAGATAAGATGGGCACAGCAGTCTTAAATGCCTTAATCTTATTGCCCACATAGCCCAAAGATATACCTGTAAACAGGAAAGTCCCATGGACGTTAGGGGGAATAGGACTATGGCATACCAACAAAACTGCTTTGCAAACAAAAAAGATAACCTCAAGCCCTTGCTGGTACTATACCCTCCTTCATTACAGGAAGGTTAACCAATAGATCCACATAGCAGCAGATCTCCCACCTATGTATTTGCTCTGCTAATACTAACTCTTCCACAGGGTCAGAAATGGATCCCTGCTAATCACAGCTCCGTGAGATATGGCAGTGTCTAGGTTGCTCTGAGTGGGCTGCCCACATCCTGACTTCCCATCCAGTGTGAAATGCCAGCTTTGCTGCTCATTACCTCTCTGGTATCCATGAAATGGGTTTACAGAGCAAGGCAAGAGTTGCCAATTAAATACTGGTTATGATTAAGTAAGACATAAAGGTTTGTTCTTCTCTGTAACAACTGGAAACGGAGCAGCACTGGGAAAGTTATATTACTAGTCTCAAAAAAATATACAGGTTCAAGATTTTGAGATAGCAAGCAGCTTAGTCTGCTGATTTAGCCTAAGTACAAAACTTGCAAAATGACAAAAAGTTAAAATCACAGGGTATGTGACAACGTTAGGTACAGGTTAAGCCCAGAGTCTAACCCCCTTACAATGGTACCGAACAGTGAGATAGATGTCTCTCTGACTCATGAGTCTATTGAATGAACAGAAAAAAAGGGTAGGTGATCTGTCTCTTTAGGTGAAATGAAATAAACCATCTCACCTTGTCTTTGGCATCTGCGTGACACTGCTCTTGTGTCAGGATGTCATTGAAATTGAGGCTTTGTGGGAACGGTAGTGAATGGCTGATCTTCTGAGTCCTAGTGGATTTCTTGCAGTAGAACCGTTTTAGATGAAGGGTCAAGGCCAGTGGCAGATGTTTTAGCCTTGTGCCCTGCAATGCAATAAACACTGGAGCTGAAGACTAAGGAATCGAGAGAGATTTAAGATGTTAAGACCAACATGAATGACTTTAGGATATAGAGAGGTCTGTGCTACAATGAATTAAGTCCCCTGCTTTTCATTTTAGAAATTCAAAGTCTGCTTGACTGGAAATGCTAAAGGTTTACATACACACCGGATTATAAACTATGTAAAGAATCCATAACCACAAAATATCCTGGCTGTACCATGGTTTGTATCTTAGTCTTCAGGTGTTCATTCTGTGCATTACTTCTCTGTCTCTCTTTTATCCTTCCCTGAAGCATGTAGCTCTCTGTGTGGTTAGACAAGACTACAGGAGGTAATGGAGGGATAAATGCAATCATGGCTATAGTGACAGAAGTTATAATTTAGAGTTGCTCCCTAGTTTGAAGAGTTGGGAGTTTTAGGAAATGGTTAGTGAGTTAGGAGACTCAGGTAGTAGTTAGTTAGAGAGAAAAAGGATCTGCAGAGGTTAGCCTATTGCCTCCCATTAAAGTTTGTTGTTTAGTTCTCATTCATGTATGCCTGTGTTCATTGAAACCAATGGTCACTACACTGGCAACATACGAGATGCGCAGAGAAGCATTGTAGGATACTGCCATGAGTAGCGGGGCTTCCCTGCAGGGTGGTTGAGAGGTAGGTCCATAGACAATTTCCCCTTCAGTAAGTGCCTACAAAGAACACCTTAAGTGGTCTATCCTATCCTGGACAACATGTACCTTGGACAATACATGCTAGAAGGTTTTATATTTTTCTTACACTTTGGCAACACTCAAATATCTTATCAGTTCAATAAAGTCTCACTGATGAGTTGGAATTGGGGTTTGTTTACAGCCTCTGTCACTCTAGCAACATAACCAAGTCAGGAGAGTCCTGTAGTAGAGAAACAGCAAAGTCCAACAGAAGGTATTTTTGTGCTGGTGTAGCTACAACACTTTGTCACGGGTGCTGACAGACATGCAGGGCCCTGCTCAAACTCATGGCGCTTTATATAAAGCACCACGAGTTAGTGACCACCACTCCCCTGGCCCAACAGACATTCTACAAACTCTGTTCCAGTGCTTTACTACTCTCCTTTTGCAAGTTTTTCCTAATATCTAGCCTAAACTTCCTCTGCTACAAGTTGAGACTGTTACTCCTTGTTCTGTCATCTGCCACTACTAAGAACAGTATAGCTCCATCGTCTTTTTAGCCACCCTTCCAGCAGTTTCCTATTTTACAGGAGTTCGAGAAAATATTTGCTTACCTGCAGACATGGTGTTTTCTGCTTACACTGTTCACAGAAACACATGTCATTGCCAGTCAGCTGTTCAGGCTGGAAAAAGCACTGTAGGGAATCCTCCTAGAAATACATAGAAGGTTTCTGTCAGTCAAAAACAGGAACTGAATTCATCCAAGTTAGATTTCTACCACTTCTTCATTTCAAGGGATTTAGTATAAAGGCCCATACACAGAAGAGATGTGCAATTTCAAGGTGTCTGGTAAAGGAAATAGGGTTTTTTTCTCTTGCTTTTTTCTGATAAATAAAATAAAAAAGATTTTACTTCTTTAGTTTTATTTTTAACTATTTTGTTATAAGTTAGACCAGTGGTGCTCATCCTTTTGGCCCTGTGGGCCAGATGAGTAGTAAAGGATCCATCTGCAGGCTGGATTTGACCTTGGGGCCTAGCATCCCCTCGCTTCCTCCACACATCAGGATTGGACTCTGGTGGCTTAGCACCACCCCCTCCTAGCCTGTATGCAGGGATTGCATCCCTGGGGTCTGGGACCACAACTTCCCACCCCCCATATGCTGGAATTGAGTCCCAGGGGGCTGGCACTGCCCCCCACAAGCCAGAATTGGGCCCCACCAGCCTGGTACCACCCTCTCCCAGCCTCCCACACTGGGATTGGACCCTGGGACCCAGTGCCACCCTACCCAGCCCTGTTTTCTGGGATTGGGCACCAGATCCATCACACAGAGCTCAGGGCTCCCTTTGGGTCTGGAGATTTAGCAGCAGGGGTGTAGTGCCACCACTCCCCTGATACCAAATTTCCAGATCCATGAGGAGCCCTGCAGGTCATATGACATTGTACTGCAGGCTGGATCTGGCCTGCAGACTGGAGGTTGAGCACCCCTGCAGTAGACAAATCCCCTGTTTCAGAATTCAGCAATCACTCTTCACTCTATCTAAGGTACAGTACTGTGATATCTAAGCTCTGCGGATTACATGCAGCTATTACTATGTGTTTTAGACAGAGAGGGAACAGTGAACCGGATACCAAAATTATAACCTCCTTTCAGAAAGGAGCCTCAAGAGCTCTATCTTCCATGTGGAATTCCTCCAGGGACAAGTAGAAAAGACAAGGGTTAAATAGCACCCCAGCATAGATACTAGATAGATACTAGACATGGCTTCTAGGAGAGGAGGCTCTTGAATCAGATTCCAGTGCCTTAGTGAAGTTGACTCTTCCTCCTAATAAAGGGCACAGTGAGAAGGGATGCTAAACCTACCAGTGTCCTCAGCAGGTGAGATCTGGAATCAAACATTGGGAGTGGGAGAGTTATCATGTGGCTGTCCCTGTTTGTTTCAAAGGAACACCTCTGGCAAACCAGGTACTCCTGCACCCAGATAGTGTACAAAGCAGTCAGCCTTTCCACCTGAAAGGGTAAAAAAAACAACAAGAAATGGATACAAATCATATAACACATCTGCTAGTGGCTGTACTTGGACACCTCACTGATGTAGTGTCGCTTCTTTAGGGCTTGAAACCAGATCTGGCACTTCTCTAGAAAGAGAGTACCTCATAGCATTGAAATAGGGACACTATAAATGCCTCACAGAAGTTACAGGGGTTTAGGTTTAGGTTGTTAAACAGATGAACTGCTGTTGTAGCAGATACATATATATAAGACATCTACATGTATGTAATGTAAGAATCACATGCAGCTGACAGGTGTTCATTTAAAGGAGTGATGAAATATAATCCCTGATCCTGAAAATCATGCCCCTTTCCATGCCAAATGTGCCTTGCAAGATGCATGATTTTGGAATCAATTCCCAATTGCACCCTACTAGTCAGTGCAGAATCATGATTCCAGGCTCCCCTGTACTAGGAAGTTGAAAGCCCTGTGCCCCACAATCCACTGGTTTTCAGATGGCTCCACCACTTCAGCAGGGCCAGTTGGAGATCTGGTGCACTCCTAGTCCTGCCACATGTTCAATTTAAGATGTGATGGAAACCAGCCACAAAAATTAACAGACTAATAGCATCTTAAGTGTAATGTCTCCCAAGGGCCATATCTTTGTACCAAACCTACAATGTGTGTTTGTCTCCTGCATAAATACATTGAGCTATTGGTTACTGCTTGTTCATAGCCTAGGAACCTCTCATGAAAAAAACTGCCTCCATTAAACATGTAAGCGGTGGCTGGCAGTAACTGAAGGAAGCTGACAGATACTAAGGCAAGGAGCAGTGACCATTTAAAAATAACACTGACTCATATTTCTGTAAATCTGGAATTGGAAGAAAACTGAGATTACCAAACCTGTTTTTGTAAAAGATTTTCCTTTTCTATATTAACAAGTAGCTCCCGCAACAAGGATAATTATCCCTTTGGCCTGGCCTGAAAGAAGTTCAACTGAAATTTAACTGAAACTTGAAATGACAAAACCCTTAGCAGCTTGATTCCCGGTGACTGGGAGATAAGAGAGTAGAATCCAAAAGATAAGGGTGGGACTCCTGGACCTAGGACAAAGGCTGGCTGGTAAAAGGGATTCCTGTTAGGAAAAGCAGTAAAAACCCCTCATTCCCAGGGATAGGTTGCATGGCTTTTTCATTCATCACACTTACCAGGTCCATGTTTGTGATTTGACTCTTAATGAGGTTCCAGAGGATCAGTAATAGCTGTGCAGCATCATGCTGGACAAACACTGGACACATCGAAACATTACAAGCTTGGTCAGTATTATGAACAATAAATCTTCCTCCTCTGAACCCCTTTCAGAGACATGAGGTTCCCACCCACTTCTTTGCCTCCAATCCTCCCCAGTCTCCACAGTACACCAGCTGGCTTTCCAACTGATGAGAGAGGGGTGGTTTTTCCTCAGGATCCCCATCAGTGTTGTTTTTTAATATATCTCACTACAGAAAAATGTGAGCCACCTACTTCCAGGCCAGCACTGTTCCAGCAATACTCCCTGCAAGCACAGACTACTAAGGACTAGGCAAGAATGCTACACATGGATTTTCCATGGCAGCCCAAATGGCACATTTAATGACCCAGCTGGATGCAAAGGTAAACTGCTCAGCTGAAAGGCTGAACCTGGCCTTCATATTGATTTGATGAGTTCTGAATCAGAACAAGGCTTATCTGCTCACAGACTGGGGTGAGTTTGGTATAGTTTAACCACCTATCTTCCTGCCTTCCCTTCCAGCTGACACTATGAAAGAGAGAGCAGCTTCCTCCCCGTAATGACACCAATATAAGAAGACATATCAAGCAATAAGCTACCTCACCCTCTATATCCAGTACATCCCACTCCCCTCTAAGATCCATCTGCTTTCCTTCTCTAGAGCAATGCAGGCTGTTACTTAAGAGCAGGGGCAACCATCTCATGCCCTAGCCAACAGGCAGGTTGTTCTTCAGGATCTACCTCCCCAAATCCCTTTCATCTGCCAATATGGAAATAAGGCCAGCATCTCTAGTCTCTGCTAGTGGGATACAGCACACACCATGTGGCAATATGTCATCACTTCTCCCTTTCCTAAATCAGATGAAAAGGTGGGAAAGTACTAGGCGCAACCACATAGGGAATGGTGGGCTGCTGCTTACATTCCACACCGTGCAGTGAGAGACAGCGAGAAAGTTCCAAGGGATATACAGCTTCCCGTTTGCCACGCTGCATCTCCTCCAGCAGCAGGAGCATCTGGTATGGGACATTCTTCCTCTGCTCTGCAGAGCTGAATGGCACTGTGATCCTGTGAACAGAAGAAGCCATAGGAGCTGTGAGCAAGTCTCATAGCTAAGAAGTCTCAGGCATTGTAACCACAGGTGCAGAAGTGGATGGTACACACAGGAGTGTAAGAGGCAACCACAACCTACATGTCTCCAATAAATTAGTAAAGAAAGAAGACTTCCAGCAGGAGGCTGCTGCACTGCCGTGTCCAGCAGGACATATGGCAACTTTTAAAGAGCGATTTCAAAGTTCTACATTGCTCCACCCCTGTATTGGGTGCACAATGGCTGGACCCAAAGGCATCTCTAAGCCACCTTCTGAGTCCAGGGAAGCAGAAAATAATGATAGCACAGTGGGGTCCAGACTCATCTTTTTCTGCTCCTTCCACCCCCAAAACATTCCCAAAATGCTCCCTATCCTGTAGGCCAGGAGCAGGGTTGGTGCAAAGCCTTTATTTAAGCTTTAACTTACAGTCAGAGCCTGTTAGTGGCACGAGGTTAGTACCCTGATAAGTTACAATGATAACTCTTAAGAGGCTACTGCTATTCTAGGGAGTGTAGTCTGAATGCACAATGGAGCAAATGTTCTCAGGAGAAATGTTGCCCGTATGGGTGTTACTGCAAACAAGCATTAACTGGATATGAAAAGGCCCCCTGCTATAGTACTTATCCTGCCATACCAATGTAGAAAGGGACCCTAACAAACTTAAGAGTCAGTCCCATTCTGTATGACAGAAACAGAAAATTTCCACACCTGCAGTTCCTGCTCTTGGTAAGAAATAAGGGAAAGTTGGGAGGGGAAATGGGGTGAAATGGTAACTTGCATCACTCCTTAGAGTGCCTGGGTATTACCATGAAAAGAGACGGCTGGTAGATACAATTCAGGACCTAAGTATGCAGTGGAGTTTTGTGACTGTATTTCAACACTGGAGACCTAGATCCAAATTGTACTCCCTTTGTTGTTTGACTCTAACCAGCAATGTCTGTGATAGTTTGAGCTCAGTCCTGTGGAGAGCTAATTATCATCAGGTTTCATTACTGCAAGTAGCTTGGGGATCAGCCTGGATGCTTGATTGATAGAAGGAATAGAACTAATTTTAAAAACTTGATAGACCATACCCTCTACCAATGAGGTGTCAAGTGCATCAGCCTTCCCCTCCCCTCCCACTTCCCCAAAAATTATCTGCGAGTAGAGAGCTGTGCTTTTGGAACTGTGGCTTAGCTGCTCGTTAGCTCCTTGCTATGAGACCCTTGTTCAGTGAGCTGGAAGACCTGGCATCTCCAGGCAAACTGTCCTGTGAACGGACAGTTCATGTAAAAATGGAGTTGAGCAAGCGAGGCAGTGATAGTAGCATCACTGGGCGTGTGTAGATGAAATGGGGGCCCTAAATTGAAGCGGTGGGTTTTAAAAAACACCGCTTCAATTTAGGGTTGATTGAACCACCCTGTCATGCACACACCCCACTGAGTTACCTGCCTCTCTGACGGGGAGGGGAGGGCGAGCTGCCAGCGGGCCGAGTGGTCCCTGGGCTGCGGGAGGGGGCCTGGTGCTTCCCTCCATGGCAGTGGTGCCCCACCCCCGCTCCCCCTCCCCCCCGCCCTTTCCTCCATGGCAGCAGTGCCACCCCTCCCCAGGTGGCCCCCGCCTCCAGGCAGCTGGCTCAGGCAGTCCCGGGGGGTACTGCAGCCACGGGGGGAAGCACCAGGTCTTTCCGCAGCTCCGGCAGGCAGGCTCCGGGGGGAGAGGGGGGCGAAAATCAGGCTCCCTGATTTTCTTGGGTGCAGCCTGCCTTCCCAGGCTGCTGCCAGTCTGCCTGCAAGGCTTTCTGCAGAGCCGTGGAGATGCACAGAGCCCGGTGCTTTGCTCCACGGCTGTAGGGGCACCAAACTAAAACTCCTTGAAGGAGCTTTAGTTTGCTGCATCCCAAGTCATTTAAGGCACATTACACCACCAAATTTCCTACAGCAGCTGGAATTAATGCATAATATGCCGCTGAGGTGTGCAAACACTGACACCATTAAAGCAGTGCAAAAGCACTTAGCCCACTTTAAAGTGTTGTGCACACCGCCTCCTGGTAGTATAAGCTCAGGGAGTAGGCATTCTGCCTGCACATTTCCTACCTTCGCAGTATCACAGTGAAGTGTCTGTTCATGAAAAACACTTGGAGCAAGGAGTTCAGGCAGCAGCTCAGTCCAATATTGTACAGCCCAATTGCTCCTATAGGCACAGTAAAGAAAGTGAGGATTACACCTTATGTGCTGTGAGAGAGCTTCAGCGGCACTGGAAAGATGGCAAATTTCCTGTTAGGCATTTACAGCTTGCTTAACACACAAGCCCAGCACCTTGGCCAGGATTGTGGAAGCACCAAATCTCCTCCCTCAAAATTGTAAAAAACAACAAAAACAAACAAAAACAAATGGAGTGTCATCTGGATATGAGAGGTTTCTTTAGAGCCTTCTGTAGAGGTAGCCCCAAATAATACAGTGCAGATCTGGGTTTGAGCTCATATAGTGCAGATCTGCTCCCCTGGATTCAGTGTTCCCCTTCAGACATATTTCAGATTTGGTTGTCAGTGTCAGAGAAAGGAAAAAAGTTGAGCAAAGGGCAAGGAATCATTTTCACTCAGAGCCTCATGAAAAACAAAGATATACAGGTTTCCCTCCCTTTATGCTGTACTGTACATGCATTCCTGGAAAACAGTGCATAACTCGAATTCGCATAAAGGGAACCCACTTTACAATGTAACAAATAGGGATAGGTTCCAAGACCTCAACTGTTCTGACCCCCAGACCCATTTCTACCACTTTTACAGGACAATTTTGGTACTCAACAACAGCAGACAGTACACACAAGCACAGGGCACTATCATAATGGGGATGGCAACTACAGAAACACGTGTGACAGACAACAAATGAGGAGCACAGATCCACGTAGGAGACTATATTTTGGCACTTGTCACTCCCATAGTGCACTGCACAAAGCAGCTGACTTAGGGCTTCCACCACACTGATCGCATAAGAGTGAATTTACCTGCATATAACACATTTTGGTATAAAAAGAGTCATCACATAGGAGTGAATTCACACATACAGAACCTGCATAAAGCAAGGGAAACTGTATTTTGTGCTGAGTGAGGGTGGGGGTCAGTGATGGGTACTTCTGAAAAGTTTTACTTTTGGAGTAATCAGCTCCACCCAGAGAGAGAGAGAGAGAGAGAGAGAGAGAGAGAGAGAGAGAGACGCATAGCAGTGAGGAAATGACTATAATGGATGATAAGGAGACCAGGGTTCCAGCAATTTATGCATACAGCAGGGGCAGGAAATTATTTTGGGTGGAGGGCTGCTTACTGAGTTTTGGCAAGACATCGAGGGCCACATGACAGGCAGCCAGGGGCAGATAAATATTAATTTTCTAAATTTTTTAGGGGCCCTGTGGGCCAGATAGAATGCCCTGGCGGGCTACATCTGGCCCCCGGGATGCATTTTGCCCACCCCTGGCATAGAGTGAATGGGGATGAAGAGTGACACAGGCAACATCTAACCTTCTTCAACTGTCATGATGAAGCCGCCCAGTCTAAGATTTTGAAAGGAAGACGCCATTTGGGATCATTTTCCATAAAGTACAAAGCTTTCACTTGGTAGGACCAAATATGTTGTCCTGGTATTTAATTTATAAGAATCCTCCATGTATGAAATCAAGCAAAGAGAAAAAGAATTGCGGGAGAGAGAGAGAATGAAGAATTCAAGAGAAAGTGAGGGAGAGTGAGCAAAACACAGAAAAATAGCATGAGAAAGAGGGAGAGAAATTTTTTAAAAAGCATTACCATTATTTAAGTCTGCCACACCATAGACAGATATTAGCTTCTGATCTCTGTTCTTCATAACTTTCCCTGTATCCTTTTCTACTTCTGCCGCTGCCTTCATGTTGAGATTCACTGGCAGCTCTGATTTGTTGCTTCTCGTTTGTCGTCCAGTTCCCTGGCCCATGAACGACACTAGGCAACACAAAAACTAAAAAGTACATAGAAAGGTTGGAAAGATGTATAGTACATTGCAAAATAAAATCCATTTTGTCATTTGAAGTTTTCACAGAGAAAAAGATGGAATGTCAAGAAATAAATGTTACTATCATCATTATGTTTTGGTGTGTTTGAGCTGGCACTCCAGGTCTGATGTGAATTAGCATGGCAGGAAGGATAAGGATCTCACTGCCACTGCACTTCCTATATTTGTTTTGTTGCTAAATATAGGTACAGACAGAAGTGTAGCTCCCCAGTCTAACTCATGGCGCTTCACAGAAATATTGATATTAAAAGTTTACAGATTACTAGCTTATAACCAGAGCTGCACTAGGTTAGCAGCCAAATATCTTGAAGACTTTGTTTGCTTCAGATGTTTTCATGTGACCAGGAAGCCAGGGTTCTGTGCATTTTCTCATTACAATGACATGACAAGGCCAGGACAAAAAAAGTAATTGCCACATGATGAAACCTCAAAAAATAGTACAATTTTTCCACACTTCTGAATCCTGCAGTTGCAGCACCCTCTAGTGAAAAAATTGTGAATGTCCCCTGGAAGGAAGGTCTGGTATTGAATATTACATAGATATCTGTCGAATAGAAAAGAGAGTTGCAACAAATAATCAGCCTTTTAACAGAGTGTTCTGCTGTGTCTGTTAAAAGGAACCTTTTATTCCACAACAAACCTGGTGAATTCTCAGAAGGGCAAATCTCAGCTTTTCCTGCCTTTAAACTGACGAGTTGTTTATTTGTCTGTTTTGTTTTAAAATGGCCTGAATCCCTACTCCACCACTCCGGATTGAGATTTTAAAGGAGCCTAATGAAATTAGGCACCCAGCTGCTACTGAATATTGTTTATGATTCTTTCAAAACTTCCATCCCTATTGGTTTAACAAGACTTTTACAACTCTCATTAAGCAAAGGCATCTTGAGAGTATCCTTACCTTTAAGGACTGGGCCCACAGAATCCACCAAATAACCACAATAAAGCTAAAAGATGCATTCAAGCAAAGCAAATGGACACCAGATACTGTCTATCCACCTGCATGTTTGTCTATCCCAAATTGAGAATCACCCTCCAAATAATCACAACCCAAAAATGCTGGAGGTCAACATAATACAAATGATAGCTTACAAAGCATTAGACTTGGAAATCAACTTCAGTGTCCTGAAAAGGTAAGGACCAAAGGCTTTTTAATATAAGTAGAGTATTCACTGTCTCGCATATAAGCTACATTAAGTATCTAAATGATGCCCAAGATATAATAACCACTTAGGAAGAAGAGTTAACTAGAATCCAAATAATTCACTACTTCCCTGGAAGCTGGGGCTAGGCTAGGAAAATAGTATTTTTAGTATCATAGGGCTGATTCTACCAGATGCCAGGAGACCAGATTCTCAAAAGTACTTGGGCACTTTCATATGTTTGAAAATCTGATTCTAAGTGCATGTGGAGGTGCCTCTTTAATGGAGGTAAGGGACAGGGATTTAGTCTTAGGGTTTGCCCAATCTGGGGAAATTTGGAACAGTGTAAATACATTAATGCAATACCAAATTAAGTAGATGGTGGGCATGTCTACACAAGATACATTACTACACAGTAAACTAATCTAGTAAAGCATGATTGAGGCACAGGGCTGGGAAGCAGGCAGCTGTCTGGGGCAGGGAACAGTTTCCCAGCCCCTGACCCAATCCACTTATCAGGGAACGAGTCTGGGAGGCAGCTGCCATGGAGGCAGGACAGCTACCCCCACATCCCCCAGAGCCAAGGCCTGACCCCAGTGCCCCCTGCCAGCCTGGGGCTGACACCTGGGAGAGCCTGGAGCCCCCCTGGTTGCTGTAGGGGGGGCAGAGCAGGGCAGGAGTAGCCCTGTACTGAACC